AGAGATCTGGGTCCTCAATCTGCTCAGGTAAATCGTAAAGGCATTCACGTCCCCATAGCGCAAAGGCCCATATAGCATGATGGTGAGCTTCATGACCTTGTGCATCAAATCCATCCACGATGGTACACCATGTCAAAGACAATGAGGAATCATCATCTGGGTGCCATTGTAAAGCTGCGGCCGTGAGAGCTACGTGGACTTCATCACAAATAGAACTGGAGCAGTCACGAGCACTGTTTCCTATCAATAGCTGCATCTGCCTTCACACATGGAAGGGCTTGTTTCCAGCCTCCTGCTCGTTAAAATGCAAAAGTTTCACTCCGTCAGGCTTTTACCGCGGGTATCCTTGCTTTGCTCTTCGCATTCTTGCCTACCATTCTCAGAAGATAATGAATTGGGCGCCTTTCTGCAACAACCATAGTAGGCAGAGTGGTGCTTGAAGAAAACTTGGCAATGAGCAAACGACGCATAAACGCAATTCAACCTAAAATCCTATTACAACCTGTTAGAATCAACACGAACCTGCCCAAAATGTGATTCTGTAAAGCATTTCTCTTTGGCCTTGTGATTACTCTTAGACATTTCACACGCAAAGGCCACGGCATGGAGATTAGTTGTCCAATTCTGATCGTATACGTTTGCGTATCTATCGTGCCCCAACATGTGGTGGTGGTGACACATCATGGCCGCAAACTTTCCGAAAGAATTGCAAGGCAGATAAGGCAGGATCAAATTGAGTATGAAAATCGATAGCCAAACTTTGGTAGATAAGATTTTGCATGTCATCAAGTCATCGCTCGTCAAAAAAATGCGGCACGCCAAGGCGTCATTCAATGCTTAGCAAACCGCTGGTACCAGTGTTTGGCCTTGTAGCCTGAACCGAATCTCATGCAGTGGCTGCATGACATGTTGCCTTTCAAGTCTCACGTGTCCTGCAACGTACGAATACTGTTTGCATCCAATTGCGCACGCAACCGTGCCCCAGTGCTGTGGCATACATACTGTCTCAAACTGCAACAAAGTCAGACAACAAACCACGTGCATTCATACCACTTTGTTACCACATTCAGCCATCACCTGAGTTTCTCACGTTCAGCCTGTTCCCGCGCTTCGCATTCGGCTTGGTGACCTGCAAATGTGCTGCAACTGTCAACGGAAAAGGAGACTGCTAAAGTTAATAAAGCCAGCACAGCTAGGTTTCAAGGACGTGCAACACCTGGCACAGCTGTGCACGACTATACACTTTCGGATTGGAAAGATTTACATTTTAGCTGCTGGCTTGCCCTACATGCGAGGTGTGAATGCGCATTACACTGTTACACGTCGTAAGATTGACTTGATGTGTTTCGTGATTGCTCATATAATTTCTTGACCAGTCTTAAAAAAAAGCGGGCCTAATTGGTCAAGCCGAATGACCGCTTTCAGGGCCAAGCGGTGGACAAAAGGATGCAAAAGGTAGGAGATGCTAAGAACATCGAAAAACCGGACTTCTGCTGCCATGTGGCAATGCATTGTCAGACATAAGATTGCAAAGTAGACCGGCAATCCCCAAGAGGAACTAGAAAATAAACGTAAGCAGATGTAAGGAGAATGTCAGCGCTCAAGTTTAAGCCAGAATTTTTGAGCAAATTTAAGTAATTTGCCATTTACTATTCTGTTAAAAATTGTTAAATCTATTCCTACAGTCAAGCCTATTTGAAAATCCGACATGTAAAAAAAAAGCTGTTTTATTCTGAGTGTTTCTTGGACATTTAGCACAAATGTAGAATTATTGCTTCATTTTTTCATATGGTCATGAAACTTGTTTGTTTATTCGTCAAAAATTGCAGAAATAATGTCCCAAATTTTTAAAAAAAGATATATGTTTATTCTTAGTAAGCAATTTAAACATTATTGAATTCCCAATACCCAGAGCATCCTAGATTGAAAAATTTCAATCGCACTTGAAATTTTCAATCGCCACTTGAAAAGTTGCAAATTTCAATCGATTTTTCAAGTGGTGCAAGAATAAAAATTCAAGCAAAATTTCAATAGAAACAATTGTTTTTCAAGTGAAAATTCAATCGAAAATTCAAGTGAAAATTCAATTGATTTTTTGTTTTTTTGAAAGATTTCCTTTTTTTGCAATTAGTTTTTTGAAGGTTGTCCAGTTAATGCATATTGTCTATGTCCAGGGGCCATCCAGCCCAGATTTGAAGGCTATATCAAACCTATGTGGCTATCCAGCCCAGACTTGAAGGTTATTGAACCTAGGTGGCTATCCAGCCCATTTGGCTAAGCAGTTGTGGGGCTATCCAGCCTAGGTGGCTATCCAGACCATGGCAAGGCAGTCTTAATTGCGGCTATCCAGCCCACATGAGCAATTTTGGGGCTATCCAGCCCAGACTTGAAGGCAATCCAGCCTATGTCGCATTTGTGTGGACTTAAGGGCTGTTCAGCCCAATGGGCCAAGCATGCAGGGCTATCCGGCCCAAAGCTGGGCTGTGCAGCCCAAAGTAGGGCTATCCAGCCCAAGGCTGTGCTATCCAACTACCCAGCCCAAAGTAGGGCTATCCAGCCCAAAGTAAGGCTATCCAGCCCAAAGCAACACTGACTTTTCCAAACCAGCCTCTTTGAACTCTGCCATCCTACTCTTCTTCCATGACTATGTACCCTTTCATGTACAAGTGAAACAGCAATCTAAATTTTTGACACACTTTCCCAGGCACTTTGTGACCTGGTGTTCCAGAAGTGCAAGAAGCCGCCATCTGTACCATTGAGCCCATAAAGCTTTCTGAGCCATAGGTCCAGCTGAGCCTAGGCTGCATGCTGCTCTGGGATGCTAAATGGAGAATTAGGTGGCTTTTTTGCACCAAACTCCACAAGTGTTTTCCACTCACCATAGCATCTGCTGCAAGCCAAGAGTAGTGGTGCATCATATTCTCCACTTCTCACAAAAACTTGGTGTTTCTTCGGCCAATCTTGCCACTTGCATTCCAGGAGCTGGTGCAATCCAGTCAGTGTTTTTGCCACAGCCAATCTGTGCTGGGAAGCTTTATTCCCTGGGACACTGTGCTCCTCTGCAAGGCTCTCTGCTACACGGGCGAAGTGTCTGATTCTGGCTGCTTTCTGGTGCTTGAGACATGGGTAGTGTTCACTGGAGTCACATAGGTCACTGAGGCTTAAAGCTCTGATTCTCTTCTGGGCCTCAATGTTGAGCTTATCATAATGCTTGGTGATCTTCTTGTTGAGCTGTGTGGAGCCTGACTTCTCCTCATTAGCGCATGCAGTGGTCATACCCTCTTTACAGGTCACCAGCTCAATTACAGGGGGTGTGTCCAGAGGGCTGTCCAGCCCATGCACAATTGGCAATGAAGTACACACATGCTAATTGTCCTAGGGTCGGTTTCTGCCTGGCAGCTCCTCCATGATGCTGTATAGCAAGGAGCCATGCAGGTAAGCTGCCACACGCAGGTCAACTGTGTGGAGCCAGTCCAGCTTCACCGACAGAATGCTGACTGAAGGTGCTTTGAAAATGGGATGGCTCTGGAACTTCTTCTTCAGCTAGGAATTTGAGAGGATTGTGCCTCTCCATGAAGCATTGGGTCGAAAGTCTGTGAAACTGTGCTTGCCCCCTTCTTTCACGGCATCTGCTCTGCAGTAGGGGCACAACTGGTTGGAGGAGGGGTAGGGCCAGTCAAACTCTTGGCAGAACCACTCCAGGTCACCTGTTTTGGAGTAAAGGACTCCTGGCCTCACCCTTCTTCCCCTGTAGTTTTCCATTTGGTTGCCGAACAAGTCCTTCTTGGGGATCACTCCTGAGAAGAGAATCTCAAAAGACCAGGCCAGCAATGAAAAAACTTGCTTCATAGTCTTCTTGGTCAAACCGGCCTTGGGAAAAGCACTTATGAGCATTTGTCTCTCACTCACACTCCTCTTGCTCAGCAGGCACCTGCAGGGGCTTGCCCAAACAATAGTGAAGCAGAAACAGCTAGTCCATTGAAAATAAACTTTGGGGAAGTTGTGTGGTCTCTTTCATCCAAGTCAAAACCATGGCCTGAAACTCAAACCTGAATGGAGTCGACTTCTGTGAAGGGGGCTCCATCACCATGAAGAAGCCATGGGATAGGCAACTGGCTTGGCTTGCTACCCTGGATCATCTCTTTCAGGTCAGGTGACATCTGAGGGCTTGAAAGCTGGCTTTTCCAGAAGCAAACTAACTCCTCATCTGTGCAGGACATCTTCCCTAGCAAGTCGCTTTCTTGTAGGTGGAGAATCCATTCATGTGGCAGCAGCAAGCTTACCTCAGCTCTTCAGCAACATGCAGATTTTTTCCTCTTTCTTCATCATCTCTACCTTAGTCTTGAAGCCACTTGGAGATGTCAGTCCTCTGAAGAATTTTCTGAGAAGGTCCCTATGGCAATTTCCTGCCTGGTGTCCCATTGCACCCAAGCCTCTGAGCTCTTGGATGTCAGGGCTTTCCAACCCACTCTGCCATGCAGCTTGTGCAATGTCCTGCACTTCTAGTGCACTCAGCTTGCCAACTGCAAATTTACGCAGTAGCAGTAGGCCAAGAGCACATGGTTCTAGATCTGTCATCTTTTCCTTGAACTAAGAGGTGGCAGCAGGGGACTCACTTCTGGAACCTTTTTAATTTCTGGTGCTGTCCAGCCCATGCTGTGGAGGATGGGGGCTGTCCAGCCCATGCTGTGGAGAATGGGGGCTGTCCAGCCCATGCTGTGGAGAATGGGGGCTGTCCAGCCCATGCTGTGGAGAATGGGGGCTATCCAGCCCATGCTCTGGAGAATGGGGGCTGTCCAGCCCATGCTGTGGAGAATGGGGGCTATCCAGCCCATGCTGTGAAGAATTGGGGCTGTCCAGCCCATGCTGTGGAGAATGGGGAATATCCAGCCCAGGCTGTGAAGAATTGGGGCTGTCCAGCCCATGCTGTGAAGAACAACAACAGCTAGGCACTCCACCTTTTCATCTCAAAGTCTGATCTCTCTGGTGTCTCTGGGTGCCTATGCTTTCAAAGCTTTGGACAACTGCAACTTCGCGGCTTTGCATTCTTTCAGACAGGACAAAGCTTTGGTGAGAACAGCCACCACCTCCTTCTTCGCACCCTTCTTGGCCATGAGCTTGGTGATCTCATCCAAGGAAGCACCAGCCTTTTTCTTGACTGCCTGCACATGCTTTAGGAGTGTTTTCTCTCCATTCTTCTTCAGAGCGAATTCTCCTCCATCCAAGGTGGCCAAATCTTTGGAGGTCTCAGTCTTGAACTTCATGAGTTTCTCTTGGATCTCATCTGTCTTTGTGCCATCTCCAACTTGGCTCAGCTTGGCCCACTTGTCATCCTTTTCCTTCTTCTGATTCTTCTCTTTGTCCTTAAGACCCATCACCTTGGCAAGGTCTTTGTCTATGCCTTCAGTCTAAGATGCATCTTCTTCTGCACCCATGACAAAGTCATCCTCATCAACCTCCTCCAGCATCATCTGGTCGAAGGTTACCAAATCCTTAGCAGCTGCCTCACCACTGCCTCCACCTTGGAAGACTTCGACTTGTTGACATAGGTGGCTTCCTTCTCAGAAAGCTTCTGGAATTGGAAAAAGCGCCCATCCTCTGGATTCCTCCTCCATCTCAGGGTCCTGGCAGCCAATCTGGCTTTCATCTCATCCAGGCCCAACTCATCTTCCATCTGCTTCTTGCTCAGCCATGTCTTCTCCACTCCATGCTTCTTCTCCAAAGTGATGCTGGCAAAGGCTTTCCTGTACCTCTCAGAGCATTTGCCTCCATCCATACACCAAGACCTAAGCAGGTGTTTCTTCCTGAGTTGGGATTCTGTGCCAGTTGTCTCTTGCTTGTACTCCTCATCTCTACCCACTGACTTTCTGCTGCCTTCGAATCTCTTCCACAGAGATTGCTGCTGTTGCTCAGGCAACTTGGCAAAAGCCTTGTCAAACTGCTCTGCACTGAGCTTGGAAGCCTCTGTCAAAAAGGCCTGGTGGTCCTTCAAGGCTTTCTGGGTGAGAGGTAGTCTTTTACTCTTTTGTTCTTCTTCCTCTTCATCTTCCTCCTTTGGTTCTTCCTCTTCACCTTCCTGTTCCACTTGCTCATCCTTCTTGCCTCTCTTGGAGGCTGTCTTCTGCAGGCTGGTAGCAGGCCTTTTCTGCGAAGCTGGCCTCTTCATGGCTTTACTGCCTCTAGCTACTTGAGTTTGAGCTTGAATCCTTCCCATAGAAGCTCATCATAGAATTATTTTTTGTTTGGGGCTATCCAGCCTTTTGTTTGAAAAAACATTATTTGGTGTGGGCTGTCCAGCCCATATGGTTTGAGTTTGAAAAATATAGAAATAAAAAGAAAACAAACAAAATACAAAAATAAAATAATCACAAAAAGACAAAAAAGAAAACAAACAAAACCAAACACAAAACAAATACAACAAACTCATCATAGACTTTTTTTGCTTGGTGTTATTTGGTTTGGGCTGTCCAGCCCATATGGTTTGAAAAATCTACAAATAGAAAGAAAACAAATGAAATTCAAAAAGGAACATATCACAACAAGAAAGCAAAAGAAAGCAAACAAATACAAAAAGAAAACCAAAAAAAACAAAGAAAAAATATTTCATGAAATTTCATGAGATTTCATGTGATTTCATGGATCTTCATGGATCTTCATGGATCTTCATGGGTCTTCATGAGATTTCATTTGATTTCATGAGATGTTATGCTGATTTTTTGAAACTGTTTGGGATTAAACTATATTTTTTTCTATGGGCTCTCCAGCCCAATATTTTTAAAAACAACAGCTCAGAGCTATCCAGCCCAGTGTTTTCCAGACACTGGGCTTTCCAGCCCAGTCATAATTTGAAGTGAATCTCAAAAACCATGGGGCTCCCCAGCCCATTTTTTTCAAATGGGCTCTCTCCAGCCCAGTCCAAAGTTGAAATGAATCTCAAACACCTTGGGACTCTCCAGCCCAATTTTTTTTCAAATGGGCTCTCTCCAGCCCAGTCCAAAGTTGAAATGAATCTCAAACACCTTGGGGCTCTCCAGCCAATTTTTTTTTCCAAATGGGCTCTCTCCAGCCCAGTCTAAAGTTGAAATGAATCTCAAACACCTTGGGGCTGCCCAGCCCGGTCTAAAATTGAAATTCTCCAGAGACCTGGTGGTTCTCAAGTTAGTTGATTTGCTTTATCTTCTAAACTCTTTGGGCTGTCCAGCCCAGTGGTGTTTGATTCTGATTTCAAATCTTATGGGCTCTCCAGCCCAGATGAATTATGGGTCCTACAGCCCAAGTACCAAGGGGCTATACAACCCAAGCCTCCAGCACTGTTTTCCTCACACTCTTTTCTGCGGGGCTGTGCAGCTTGTGCGAATTTAAAAAAAATCAGTTGGTATAGGCCCTCAGCTGGCAAAAGAGGCTGATACAGATACAGCCTTTATTGTACATGGCCTCCTCAGATTGGCTGGGTCTCACAGAAAACAAAAATTATATGCCTCATGGTTTGTTAAAATTTGGGGCTATCCAGCCCAGCCAATCTACTCTTGCAGCATTGCCCTCATGAACTGGCTGGTCTGCTCCTCAAACAAAACAGCTTTAGGTTTAATAGTTGAAAATGTTTTTATGGTTACAATTCCTTTGGGCTCTCCAGCCCAGCCAGTTCTTGGGCTGATCCTCTACCTGTAGGCCTTCTCAATTTCGCACAAAAGGTTGTATTCTTTTGCATCCCTCACATTTCTGATGAAATCGTTGGACCTTTGGTAGCCCCTGAAGGAGTTGCAGCCAGGTCCTTGGATGGAAGTTCAAAAACGATGCTATCCAGCCCATGGATTATTTTGGGGCTATCCAGCCCATGTGTTTTTGGGGCTATCCAGCCCAATAGTGAAATTTGTGCCCAAGCCCAAGGAACTGAATATGCAGGCAAGGCTCTCATACATCCTTGGCAGCTGGGCCCTCTCAAAGAGCTCTTCTTTGTAACATAGGAGATGTGCTGGCAGTCTCTGTCTCAGATGCCATCGTCCATCCAAGTTTCACAAAGGCTGTGCTTAAACTTTGCAGGTTACAGCCAGGGCTATCCAGCCCAAAACTAATGGGGCTATCCAGCCCAAAACTAATAGGACTATCCAGCCCAAAACTAATGGGGCTATCCAGCCCAAAACTAAGAAGGGCTCTTCAGCCCAAGACTAAAAAGGGCTACCCAGCCCAAAAAATCAGTTTCCAGCACCAAAAAAAAATCATGCAGCCAGGTTTGCATTGAATCATCACATGGTCCAGCTCTCCTAACATCTCAGCCACTTTCACCCAGAATGGAGACTGTGCCCCCACCCAGTCTTCCAGGTCTGTGGGCCTCCTGGGCACATGGGGCTGTTGTCAATTTATGGTGTGCATTTTGTGTGGTATAAAATGTTAGTTTTTGAAAACAAAAGGGTTTGATAATGGCAACCAAAAGTCTTCCAGGCCCAAAGGGAAGTTTCACCCTGGTCTCCTCCTCCATCTCCTCCTTGCCCTGGCCATGCATTGGGCCATGACTCCCAGCTTTGCCAGCCAGTAGAGTTTGCTGGCATTGCTGTAGCTCCAGTATCTCCTCCTTTTCCCTTTCCCTTCTCCTCTGCCTCAGTGGCATTGGCTTCTTCTTCTGTGTCTTCTTCTTCTTCTTCCTTCACCTTCTCCTTGCCCTTCTCCTTGCCCTTCTCCTGGCCCTTCTCCTGGCCCTTCTCCTGGCCCTTCTCCTTCTCCTCAGCCCAAGGTGCTGCAGCACCAGAAGCATTCTGCATTTGGGATGCCATCTGGAGCAAGATGGCCTCTCCCATCATCTCTGTCAGCTTCTCGAAGAACAGCTCCTCACTCTTTCCTGCAAGGTGACATGGGCACCAAAAAAGGGCTTTCCAGCCCATATCTTTACCTATGGGGCTATCCAGCCCAGGGCTTTACAGCCCATTGCCTAACTTAACTAGGGTTTTGGAGCCCATTTTCAGCCCACACACACCATGCAAAAAAGGGCTACCCAGCCCATATCTTTACTTATGGGGCTTTCCAGCCCATTGCCTAACTTAACTAGGGCTTTCTCAGGGAAACTGCCTGTAGGTCTCCTCTACCTCCTTCTGGAGTCCAAAGACCGTGGTGCAGTATCCTGTCAGCTGCCTCAGGTAGGTCTGCATGTCTATGTCTGGAAAGAAGAAGTCCTTCAATCCTTTCATCTGAGCCCTCCAAGTGGCACTTGCACCACCATGCCCTTGCTTTCCTCCTCCACGCTGGCTCTCTCCAGCCGAAGGCTCCTGCCAGGCTCCCTTCTTTGAGCCCTTGCCATAGGGACCAGACATGGCTGCTCAGGCGAAGTCTCAGTTGCTTGGGCCCCTCACTCTGCAGAGGTAGCTGATGATTTTCTCTGCATGGCAGGCTTGCCAGCCTCTGGTTGATTTTTGAAAAAAATCATCAGACATGGCCATGGCATTGAAAAAACCTTTTGTGTTTGGGTTTGGTGGGCTTCACAGCCCAAACATGTTTGAAGAGGGGGCTCTTCAGCCCAAAACTCTTGGGGCTATCCAGCCCACAAACCTTTGGGCTATCCAGCCCAAAACCTTTGGGGCTATCCAGCCCAAAACCTTTAACCCTGTGGGGCTATCCAGCCCACAACCCTTTGGGCTATCCAGCCGAAAACCCTGGCCCAAAACACTTGGGGCTATCCAGCCCACAACCCTTGGGGCTATCCAGCCCACAACCCTTGGGGCTATCCAGCCCAAAACCTTTGGGGCTATCCAGCCCACAACCCTTGGGGCTATCCAGCCCGAAACTTTTTGCTAACCACCACAATACCCAAGCCATTTTTTCACCACTCATTCTACTATCTATTCAGAGAGTTTCTTCTCCTTCCAAGCTTTCACTTCGCCAAAGCACTTGCCCTTCTCAAACATCTTCTTCATCTCCTTTGCCATCTTCTTAGACTCTTCAAATCCTTGAGGTGACACCACCTGGATCAGCTGCCTGCCATTCTTGATTCTCAGAGCACATGACATCAGCTTCTTGTAAGGCATCACGAAGAGCTCCTCAGTGGGCCTGAAGTCATCTGGAAACTTCTCATGCCTCTTCTTGCCATGGTTCTTGGAGGCTGGCTTTTTCAGCAAGGCTGCAGCAGGTCTCTTAAGCTCTTTCTTCTTTCCAACCTCTTCTCTCAGCTGAGCCTTCCTGGGAGGCACTGGCTGAGACTTCTTGGCTGAAGCCAGCAACTGATCTTCCTCAGGCTCCTCTTGAGTGGGTGGGATCTCAAACTCTTGGAGCCAACCTGGAGATCCAGCAGAGGCAGGGCTAGCTGCCTTGGCATCTGGCTTCCTCTTTTTTGGTGTAGTGGGAGACTCAGGTTCAACTTCCTGCTTTGTTTCCTCCTGCTTCTGGGACACCAACTTTTTGATCGCCTCCAGCTTCTCCACCTGGAAAGAAGTCAGGTTCTTGGATGCCTCTGCAAATTTTCCATTGTCTCTGCTGATCCTTCTGGCATGGTTGCACACAACCAGCATACCATCTGCCAGGGATTTGGCCACATGTCCTGGCTCTGACACTGGCCATTTCTCCTTTATCCCAGGAAACTGCTGCAGCACCTGGGTGAAGCAAGTCTTCAAGGTCGAGTATTTGAACTCCAAACTTGCGCTCACCTTGTGAAACCCTTCCAAGAGGTACAGAAGATCTGCCAAAGCAGCTCCCTTCACAGCATGTGAGGCCTCTGTCTTCATGTACTTCCCCAAAGCAAATGCACCTGCTTCTCCCACCTTCTTGACATGGCTCAGGCAAATATCTAGCAAGTGCTCCTCATCTATCTCTGGCACTGGGGTTCCTAGGTCCACCCCTTTTCTTGGACATGGTGAAAATGCCTGCAGGCAAGCATGTAAATCATGTGCAGCTCTTGAAGGACTATCCAGCCCAAATGTGTTGGGGCTATCCAGCCCAAAAGCGTGTAAGCTATGTGCAGCTCTTGAGGGTCTATCCAGCCCAAAACTCTTGGGGCTATCCAGCCCAAAAGTGTTTGGGCTATCCAGCCCACATGTGTTGAGGCTACCCAGCCCAAAAGTGCTTGGGCTATCCAGATCAAAAAGTCTAGCCCCATGCTGAGGCCTTCAAAGGCTTTGACATATCCAAATTCAGTTTCAATTTTTCAATTGAATTTTCAATCGAATTTTCAATCGTTTTTTCAATCGAAAATTTTGTTTTCAAGTGAGAATTCAATAGACAAAAAAACCTTCCACTTGAAAAATAGCTTCAAATTTCAAGTTTCAATCGCCACTTGAAAAGTTCAAAAATTCAATCGTTCACTTGAAATTTTTCAATCGAGGATGCTCTGGGTGGCTGACCAAGGCAACTGACAAAATACTGCAAAAGACTAGCAAGGAGCAAAATATAGGATTGAGCAATTTGTCGAAAATGTGCGAACTTACGTCGACATCTCTGAGAGAACTGCTGTGTGCAATGTTGAATTATGCCACCTGCTCCTGGTGGGCTTACTTGATCTGTAGTAAAGTCAAACTGTCAGTTGCGCAGCAATTGAATAGCTGCCAACAGGCGAATCTGAGCATCTACATTACATTTGGCCAAAATGGCCGCTGATAGACCCCAATCACTCAAAATTGGTTCAAGGTTAGGTGCATGGGCTTGATCAAATTGTTTCAGGACATTCTGACGGCTATCGATACTTTTGGACAATTGGTCTTGTCGATCTTTTGGAACGTATCGTTTGACCCAGTCTCGAACCTTTGCCTCAGCACCTGATTGGGGCGGGTGTACAGCAAAGAAAGCTGTTCCATCCTTGCGTCGATAGGTCGCCAGGGGGTCATCCGGTGCATGTGGGGGAGGTGATGTGCCTTGCGAAGCAAAATAATCCCCGAGGGATGCTTGACCTGATGGACCTGCACCTTGGTTTGATTGACCTACGATTCGACTTGGTTGGCCTGGTTGAGGCGGTGGATTTTGTGGATCATGCGAATCTGACATCTGACCGGCCTTCAGGGCAGCATTCTCCGCTTTTAGCTTTTCAAGCTCTTCTAAGATGGTCTGTTGGGGATCTTGTGGGCACAAAGTCTTGTAGTGGTCCAACGTTGCTTGAACTAAGCTTTTGATACTATTCAGCTTCGTGTCCCATTCCTGTGGGTCTTGGCCTGAAGGGGTGAATGCTTCCAGCAGCTTGGTGAAATCAATGGTGTCCTTTTGTTTGGACATTTCACGAAACAGCATAGTAGCAAAGGTAGCCTCCAACCTATTCCGAAAAAAATCACATGAGACAAAGCGACCATTGGCCACAAGCCGAAGGCCCCAATTGTTGAGACCACTCTGGACAACATCAATGAGCTTTACCTGTGTGATTTCTTGTCCAGCAAGGTTCTGCCGGCGACTGAATTGTGTGGCTTCAACCCGTTTTGGGAAGTTTAATCCGTATTCTGTTTTTGTGTCCCAATGAGTAGAAGTACAAGTCCAAGTCGAAGGCGGTGTGAACCGAACTGCATCTGGGTCCGGACGATGAGTGCGTCGTCTCGAATCATCTCTAGGGTTCCGACGAGGGGCACTGTCCCGAGGACTACGTCGTGGAGATCTTCCTCTTCCAGACGTACGATGTGAACGCCAAACTGATCGTGAACGAGAATCTCGTGCCAGAAGTGTGATGGTAAAGCTGTCTTTAACTGTCTATGCCTTGAGCCTACCAAATCGAAAATATGCAGGATATTTCTTAGCGCAAATCACATCCACCGACAGAATTTTTACAGATGGTCAAACAGTAAACTGTTCAGAATATCCAACCCAAGGACAGCATAATGTGAGTTCAAGAGTGTGAATCTGCAAGAGGCCTTTTATACCCGTGTGCAGAGTGTCATATCCAACTGACAAGTTGTCGTTTCTGACCTATAGTGTGATACGAAACTATAGATTGGGTGGAAGTAGTACGGCAAAATGCGTAAGTCTGCTCATATGACTTCGGAGGGCCCAGCGTTTTTCTTTTTGTGAGTGAACAATATCACAAAAGAGGTTGGCACAGTGTTCAGAGACCACGCCTCCTTGATGAATAGTAGCGTGTGTCTGACGACCAGCTGTTAATCCGACCAAACATATAGGCCGATCTGTTCCATAGTTGGCGTACTTCTGAGCTCGCAGCAGAACATCAGTAAGACTACGATTCGAACTCCAAGAACTCCCCGAGCGTAAAATCCCACAGCTGCAATCCATGTGGAATCTGTGAAATCAGCAGCAGACGGTCGTATCAAACCTTCTTTAATACATGAGGCAGCTGTCCACGTGTTGGTATTATGGCCAAAGATGATCTGCTGAACAATCTGTGGTTGGGGTCGTTGTTCGAAAATCACCGGTTGGAGTTTTGCAACAATAGCTAAAGGCTTGTTGTTGCGATCATCGGAAAATAAATCAATGGCTTCAATCAAAGAGTAGTTTTCAGGACGTATGAAGATCGTTTCAGCCATGACTCGAGTGGCGGCACGAATATGAATTTCATGTTGAGTAAAAAGCATGTCATGTCCACGAGAGATGTCCTGTGTAAGAAAATCAAGCAAATCCTGACAGTGACGTTTGGATTCTTCCGGTGCCAAATAATCCGGAAGGCGAGAGTAATGTGCAAGATTCGCAACCCAGCACTGTTGTTGTTCTTTGATCCGATGTAATTCAAAGGCATTCTGAATCCGACTGGTATCTTGAAACAGTGGTGTACGTCTGCGAAGACGTATCATGTCATACAATGTGAACCAGTCAGTTTGGGTCAAATCTGAAATGAGTAATGGACAACGGAACACCACCAAAGAAGGCAACGTCCACAATTGTATGCCAGAACCAACGTGATATTGATATTCAGTGACCGTATGAATGCCTGGACGGCCAATCATGGTCGTCATCTGAGACACTGCTGGAATTTGTTGCATCACATTGGTTTCAACCAAGGACCCACTGAAATTATGAGAATGATAAAATAAACCATGGGTTGGAATCATAGGTGTAGATCGTTCCGGAACTGGGAGCTGAGACGAACTTGCAACTGCATGGTCCTCGTGTAGACTCTTCGACGCGATCTATCCGTCGACGATCATCAGTCAGTGGCGGTCTAGATCTGGATCCTCTACGAGTGTCAACTTGATTCTGAGGTTCCGACACTGCCCAGTCTGGTAAAACTGATCGCTGGGTATCCGTCACATGACCACGTTGTGACATCCAACGAAACTGCTGTATTTGGGCTTGAGTCTGTAAATTACCCATCTGATACTGGTAGGGTTGCATCTGACACTGGTACATCTGTAATGCCTGTTCACCTTGAATGATACGGTGTGTAATGGCAGACATCTCCTCGTTGGGGACATTGAAATCAAATTCTCCACTGAAACCACGAAAATGGATACTGGAGTTTTGGGACAGTCGTCGACTTGCAGGAACCACCCAAGAAAGAGGTGGATCACGTGCTGGTGGTCCCCAAATTGATTTTGGCACAGCAGCAGGTGGTGGCATGGCGAAATCTCATCAAAAAGGAACAGTGATTGACATCTGTAAGCCTAGAGAATAGAGCCAACACGGATCATGCATTTAAATGTCAATCTGAACATGGTGAGAAAAATTGTGAGCCGATGAAAAACGCACAAACGCACGCGACGCCATTATCATCTTCAGGAGACAAAAAAATCCCCCGAATTGGGTTAATCCATCCCGCTTGGGATTAATCCGCGTCCCGCTTGTGACTAATCCGTCCACCAGGGACTAATCCGTATCTTGGATGACAAAATGTCATACCCTTGTCTCCCAGTGGGTAATCTGAATAGTTGACAAATCAACTATGGCAAATCCAGATTGTCCCAAATGAACAATCCACTATACACCGGAGCGGCCGGTGACCATAGTCTTGATCCCTACGAAGCAGACCGACAGTGCTCACAAGTCAGTGAGTTCACCCTAACACACTGCTTTGGTTTTTGTTTGATGACGATGAATGTAGAACTTGCCGTCGCCTGATTTCCTAAGTCGCAGGATGAGGACATATGGCGCAATCCGCTTGTTCAGAACGATGACCTACTACAATTGAAAACACGGCACAACTGGAAAAACACGTTGTTCAAACCGAAATTGCCGGTACGTCAGGAAAGCGTCCCTTCCTGATATCCTAGTCTGACACCTGGAGCTTCGTTGGCCCACGCCAGGAGTCAGACCCGTGGGCCCCCTGCATAGTTAAATTATACCGTGTGTGATAACGGTTTGCACACACACACACACTTTCACACACAAACGCTTTTACACACAGACGCTTTTACACACAGACCCTTCTACACACAGACGATTTTACACACACACACAAGCTTTCACACACAGAGGCTTTTACACACAGAAGCTTTTACACGCAGACGCTTTCACACACAGACGCTTTTACACACAGACGCTTTTACACACAGACGCTTTTACACACAGAAGCTTTTACACACAGACGCTTTTACACACAGAAGCTTTTACACACAGAAGCTTTTACACACAGACGCTTTTACACACAGACGCTTTTACACACACACACTTTTACACACAGAGGCTTTTACACACAGAAGCTTTTACACAGAGACTCCTTTACACACAGACGCTTTTACACAGAAGCTTTTACACACAGACGCTTTTACACACAGACGCTTTTACACACAGACGCTCTTTACACGCAGAAGCTTTTACACACAGTTGCTTTTACAAAGGATTGGCAATAGATTTGGGGTGAAATGCAAATGATTTGGGATGGTAAATGCCCCTATAAATATTTCCAGGAAATCATTATCCCATCTAACATCATTTAACTATTCCCTAAGTTCTCCCGGGGGCCATCCAGCCCCCAGCCCTTATCCCGCTAATCCTTTTGCTGTGGCAATGATCCAAAAGAAATCTACTTTTTTACTTGACACTTGATTCGGGGGGGGTGATCTACAAGTTTCGTCCGAAACTCACCTAAATCAGGTCATTTTGGAGTTCTATCTACAAGACCCAAATCAAGTAGCAAGTAAAATAGTTGATTTAAATGCTCTACTTTGTAGATGTTAACATTGGAATTTTGAAGTCCCAGATCTGAGCTTTTCAATTGAAATTTGTAGAGATTCCAGGGAAAAGGGATGTGTTGTAGATGTCTACTGCTGAAAATCACAGGCTGAGATCTACGACATGCTCAGCAAACCCTAGGATTTAGGAAACTTTCAATTGAAACTTGCAGAAGTCAACATCCATTTTTTGGACATGGAGATCTACAAGATCACCTTTTCTGCTTGCATTAGATTGGGATCAAGACTTCAGGGGTCCTTGCCAAGCAATAGTACGCCACCAAGAAGTCAACATACACCATATCAAAGGAAAATTTAGGCCCCCAACTCAATGGGCATCACACATACTTACAAATATGTAGAATAGTAATAGTAGATCGTCAGATAAGTTTAACACTTAGGTCCCCAAGAAGTCAATGTATACTATACAAGTTTAGGTCCCCAACTCAATGGACATTACAAATATATATACAATAATGCTAGCCAAAATTGGGACCCCAAATCAAATCCTTTTGGCCCAAGATCAAGTACTATTCCTTTACACACAGACACATTTACAGACAGACGCTTTTACACACAAGCGCTTTTACACACAAACATTTCATACACAGAAGCTTTTACACACAGAAGCTTTCACACAGCGAAGCTTTTACACACAAACGCTTTCACACACAGAGACCGGACCCGTGAAATCGCCGTTTTTACCTCAGTTTTTTATGTCCAACGTCCATTTCGTGCGTAAGGGTTGCGATTGACACCTCAAAATCGCAATTTTACCGCAGTTTTTGACGTCCAACGTCCATTTCGTGCGTAAGGGTTGCGAGTGACACCTCAAATTCGCAATTTTACCGCAGTTTTTGACGTTCAACTTCCATTTCGTGCGTAAGGGTTGCGATTGACACCTCAAAATCGTAATTTTACTGCAGTTTTTGACGTCCGACGTCCATTTCGTGCGTAAGGGTTGCGAGTGACACCTCAAATTCGCAATTTTACCGCAGTTTTTGACGTCCAACGTCCATTTCGTGCTTAAGGGTTGCGATGGACTAACTCAACTCGCAATTTTATACCCCAGTTTTTGACGTCCAACGTCCATTTCGTGCGAAAGGGTTGCGTTTCGTGGCGCTCAGGCGGCACCGACCCCGCCTTAAGAGAGACATAGAAAGAAGAGCGAGAGAAGATCCGCAGATGTGAAGGTGCAAGGAAGTAGATCTGCAGATGTGAGGGTGTGAAGATGTAGATCAGCAGATGTGAGGGTGTGAAGATGTGTATCAGCAGATGTGAGGGTGTGAAGATGTAGATCGGCAGATGTGAAGGTTTGAAGATGTAGATCAGCCGATGTGAGGGTGTGAAGATGTAGATCAGCAGATGTGAGTGTGTGAAGATGTAGATCAGCAGATGTGAAGGTGTGAAGATGTAGCTCAGCAGATGGGAAGGTGTGAAGATGTAGCTCAGCAGATGTGAGGGTGTGAAGATGTATTATAACGGATGTATTATAACGGCTGCTTTTTTTACGAAGAACCCTTCGCAGGCGCTCTCGGGAACTAGTTTGTTCGATTTCAATCAATTCAATTTCCTTTTATAACGCAATTAAAAGCCCTAAGATAAAATAAAAAATCGGACGGACCCTATAATAATAAACACCCCGGGGCTAACTAGTTTTTATTATTAGGGGGCAAAACCCACAAATGGTAGCTTTATTTTTAAGATGGTTTCTAAAGGTGATCAATTAAAAGTCAAATTGGCCAATCTGAAATTTTCAAAGTTGGAGATGGACCCTAGTTTTTAGTATTTGGGGGACGTTTAGTCATAGGGAGAAGGGATTAGGTGAACGTAATGTTTGTTTGATGTATTGCAGCGTGGTTTGTTGAGGCATGCAGTATGAGTATCATTTGATTTGTCTGTAGCCCGGAATATGTTTTTGCTGCCTTAGTTTAACACAATGGAAAAGCAAGGGAATTTGTTTTGCCGCGCGATAGGTCACGGTCCATGACCCTGTGCTGTGACAATATCCAACGCTTCGAGTTGAAAATGCCTTGCATGTGTTGTTTTCCTATCATTCAGGAAAAGGTGCCCCTGGTGCTGGCAATCGAGAAGATGAAGGTGCAACGGCCGGCTTTTCTCGGGAAAATCCCTTGCCCCATCATCCATGTTGGCCAGCAAATGGAAACCTGAGTGGAAAGGAGGTGCAAAATTTTGAAATAAGCCCGCAGAGTATCCCCAACAGCCAGAAACAAAAACAGTTGCCAAACACGCAATGAGTGAAGTATGTTTATTGCCCCGCCCTTCTTACTCTAGAGGTCGGGCGTGCAAGGCGCAATCACAGCACAAACACTTTATGAAAAAACGCTTTTCCAAAAGCGTTTGCAATACTGTGGCCAATATTCCCAAAGCTCGTGCGA